TCTTTGGATGGAGAAGAACTAGCCTACCTTGGCCGTTCTGGTTATGTTATACTGGGTGTATGCAGTCTTCAACTTGATTCTGTAACAACAGGTTTACATCACAACTTCATACCTCGAAACTGTTTTTTCGCTCATTCGCTTTCTAATGTCCTAATGCCTACTTTCCCATTTTTTTTTCAAGACGCCATCTTTTTGACCAATACCCCAGCCACACGCTTTGTGTTGGAACCATCCTCTCATATGGCAAATACTATACGCTCTGAGTAAGTTGCTTCCAATATCACTTTCAAGACTTTACTTTTCCTTCAACTTATTTTTATTCCACTGTGTAGGTCTCTTGGTGGAATAAATACGATTCAATACTTTCCTCCATGGTTCTCAAGCGCTTTTGAAGAGCAGATATTCCAGACTAACAGTACAAAGACAATTTCCGAACTGATCCGCCTTTACAACCCATCGATGGTTGATGTACGTGCTTTTCACAAACGTTCAGTTACAAACATTGCATTTCACGAATCCATACTCATGAAGAATCTACGGTTTGTCATATGCTTGACCCATCTGGTTCTTCGATTAAACTTTTTTATTAGGGTTCTGTACCCTTGGCCTCAACTACTTAACTTCACGGATGCTTTTCTGCGTGGATCATGAAAATTAACCACTTTTTCCCTTTCATTTATCATATGTTAACTTGCATTACCGACTGTCTCTAACTTCCATGCCTTTGTTTATTTTACCTTCTTATCTTACTATTTCATGGATGGTGTTATTGTCTATGATTTTGCCTTTATTAATAGAAATTTGCTCTAATGTTACATACTGCATTCCAAAGATGTTTTTTTTCCTTTATTGTTTTATAAGTCTATTTCTTTTTAATCTTTAGCAATTCCATTATTTTAGACTAGCGCTTTGTCAAAGCATTGTATTATCAACTCTTTACCGTGATCGTACCTTATATTCATTCCATATCAGTTCATTTAATAATTCTTACCTATTTTACAAGATGTGTGGTTCCGCCCTCGATCTGCCTGCTATACAATTATTGCTGCCATTTGTGCAATTCCTTTTTTGTCTTAACAAACGAAGCTCGTGCCTACCTGTCTAACTTTGCTCAACTGTTTTATTTACCTACAGGCAACACAGTACCTTTGCTTAGCACAAGTACTATCCACTAAGTCCTCACGACCATGGTTTTACATAGGATGTGGATTTTGCTTCAAGACAACTAGAGAATTTCCTGGTACTACTGATTTTTGGTGTGATGAGCATGGGCAGTTAGTACCTCAGCGAACCACAAAATGGTTAGTTTACCAACAAGTACTTTTCCACCATTATAATTACCACAATCAACTGAACCCTATATTTCTTATACAATTCCCCAGCTACAAGATCCATTTGGCTGTAGGAGACACTACTGGTTCGGCATGCTTTATTATGCTTGGAAAGACCACTGAGTATTTACTTGGAATTACTGCTGACGAACTATCTTTGCGGTACCCTCACCAACATGAATCTTTCCCTCCAGAAATTGTCGCCATCAATGGACGTTGGTTCTCCTTTGGCGTTCAACTCCCTAAACCTGGATATTCACATCAAACCCCTTTGGAGTTTACCATCCTCTCTGTGCTCAACCACAACCAACCTCAGTAATAACCCAATGTTTATTTACAATTTAACATTTGTATAAGTCCACTTCCCACTAACAACTCCGAACTCAGAACTCCAAATTTTGCGGATTTGATCTCCCGCCGCGTAGCGCGGGCTTCCTTGCTAGTGTATATAAACAAGATATGTATATTCATCGTTAAAGTTATATATTTGTACTCTGAAAGTTCTATTTGTGTTATAAAATGACACAAGCTATCCTTGATGGATTAACAAAGACGATGATTGAACATGATTTCTTGCAAAATATGAAAATTGGAGAGCTTATAAATAATTTTATTTGAAATTATTAGTTAAATAATTATGCTATACCCATTTTCATTTTATTATACTTTAAAAAATTAGACCACATCTCAATTCTGGAATATGACCTCCACGATTCATTAGGCGACCCTTGTTGGAGACCAAATGGACTTACAAAAACCGTTGCCAACAGATTTAGTTTTCAAACTGCTAGAGGCTCCAACGATTTGTGTATTATATACGTGGAAACTTCAAAGATACGTAACTTTACGCATCTCAAAAAATTATGTGAAATAAAAGAAAACTTTGCTTCCATCGAATGGAGCGCAAAACTACGATTGCTTGCAGTTCTGACTTATATTAGAAAAAGATTTTAGTCATCTTCAACTATTTTGAAGATAGATCGCGCTTGTTGACAGCGATACATGTAACTAGCGTGTGTTCCCAGAAGACGGTCTAAAACCACTTTGATTTTAGCGAACTGCCACCAATCGCTGGACACTGATAGTGCAGCGAACACCCAAAACCTATATATTATAAGTTTGGCTAAATTACACATGTGATCACTCAAATTATACATAATTTTCACGTTTTCCACCTGAATTACTTTTCTTTCTTATTCACTACTAACTTTACAAATCGTTTCACCGTTAGTCATCGGCCTTTAGACTCCGTTAAATTTGTCATACGTGGCAGTCAACTATAAAATTTGACTATTAACTAAATAACGTGAAAAATTAATTTATTTTACCACCTAATCATTTCACTTACTTTGTCTATATGATTTATCATATTAATTGTTTAATAAAATTAATTAAATTACAAAAAACATTTATCAACCCGCACAACAATCTCCTCTGCTACGTTGGTGGAGAGACCCAGATGGTCGTCATCCATCAATGGACGACCTTTTCCTCCCTCGTCTCCAAGCTCGCCAAGCTCTACAACTTCCCTACCGTCGCATTATATACTCGTTTGATGGCAACCATCCAGGTCTCTCCTGTAATGAATGGGAGTTTAGTTGTAATAGGAATTAATTGGGGGATCACTTTGTAATTGGGTAGTCATATAAATAGAGGAAGTAAACTGTAAACTGGGGCATCGAATATCAATTACAGAAACCATTCTTCCTTGTTCTACTTCTTCTTCCTCTCCCCTGTTCTTTCTTCCTCCTCCCTATCATTCTGCTTCCAATCTTCCTCTCTTCTTCCCTCAATCTCACTTTCTTCTTCTCTAAGTCAATCTCAATCGCCAGGACAGATCCAGAATCATTACATCTCCACCATCCACCGCACGACAATCCCTCTGTCTTCTACTCGTTTAACACAAAGCTCCCCCGAAACCTGCATTATATATGCTGCCTCCACAGTTAATTATCAGAGCTTGAAGTTTAATCATCTAACCATTTAACCCACCATACCTTTTGCCTCCGCTATTTGCTTTGTTTTCTCCCTTCTTTTTCTTTCCCCCGGGGTTTCCCGTGTCTTTCCATAACCATTACTTCTTAAAGCTCCATAATTCTCCCTTAAGTGGTTACAATCACGGGATGATCGCCCAGCCAAACCCCAATTTAGAAGTTGATTTAGAAGTTGGTTTAATTTCTTTTTTCTCCCCTTCGATTGCGTAGCTACAGTAGTTAAACCATATGTATGATTGATTAATTGTCTGATTATGGAAAAATTGAGGAAGTGCTCCGTATTTTGTGTTGTTGCGTTGGCGATACTACTATTTGGTGGGCCATGTTAGGAAGTTCATAAGTTGTATGGTCAACCACGATCACTCTGCTCCTCTTGTAATATTCCTTGCCGTAACTCGGCCTTGACCAGAACAGCAGCGGGGATTCCGCCACCGATCGGTGGACGGCGACCATCCAGGTCTCCTCGCCGAGCTGATAATATTTTTCATAATTTAGTTAAATTTTATTTAATAATTAATCTAATAAATAATATTGACAAAGTAAGTGAAATGATAAGGTGATTTTTTTTTTTAATTTTTTAGCCTAATATATTGAAAATTGTTTTTAGTAAGTGTGTATTTTTGGGGGAATCCCATAATACGCAAGTTTGTAGTTTGTACACCCTTTTCTTTGTGATACGGTTCTAGAGCTAAGTAGGCCCTACTCTTGGTTCCGCAAACCCTATGAATTGGGCTTGGGCCTTTTGTACAACGTTTCCTCTTTGGCCTTTGCCTCGTTGGTCGTTGCCTTCGCCCATTCAGAGTTTACAAGCTCCGTCTACCCCAGCCGCCATTCACCCTCAATAAGTCTACCGCCGCCTGTAGCACGAGACGTAGAGAAAGAACACGATGAGGCTGCTGACTCACAACATGCTCTCCTCCAACATCAAGGGAGTCGCCAACGGCTTCCCGCTCCGAATCGATGCCGAGAAAGTGATCCACAAGGAAGTCGATCTCAACCCGGATTTCCTCCGAAACATCTTTTCCCGGATCGAGTGGAGGGCTCTCGCCGACGCCGCGAGGTCCCTGGGCTACGCCGAGCTGCCGGAGGAGGCGGAGGAGTCGATGCTGGAGTCCGAGGAGTTCCTCGGGAAATTCCACCACGCGCTTCTGGAGATCCACCTGGAGGAAGGGGCGTTGGTCTGCCCGGAGACCGGCCGGAAATTCTCGGTGAGCAAAGGGATCCCCAATATGCTTCTCCACGAGGACGAGGTATGAACTGAACGAAACCTCCCCACGGCGGCGCCAATGGAGTAGGGTTTGTAGGAAGATTTTGTCTTTCCCTGTGGCTGTGTGGGTTTGTGGGGTTTTGATTGCTTGACCGGGTTTAGGGTTGGTTTTGCAATTTCGTGAAGAATTGAATTACATAGTTCCCCTTGTGGAAATGTGAAATAACATTCCCCTGTTTTAGCACAATCCGGTATTTTGTTTATGGCAATGAGAGTAAACTTGAGCGAAATACAAGCAAGCCAACGCTGCAGATTGCTAAGCCCATTGCTCCTATGTGAGTTGCACTAGATCACAATCGTGCATAATACATTTCTCTGTGATGACAGAATTACTCTAGGCTCCCTGTTATTGGGGTTGCACGGCAGAGGATGAATCAGCGAACGCGCTCGTCGGGACAATGGTAACTTGAGTAATCTTTGCATCCAGTTCAACATTGTAATGAATCGAAATACAAGAGGTTTCAGATCCAACTACAAGGAGGAATGATAGATTGAAACGGACAGATCTGTCGCCATCATTAACTGTTTGAAGAATTGTAAGTGAACAATGTCATACCAAGAAAACTAATTTCATCGTATCAACAAAATATCTACAGCCAGATAACAGCTTTTGCACTGCAGTGCCATGTTTCTTCACAAACCCTATGAATGTTAAACACCTAGAGTTCCAACGGCCGACCTGGGAGGTGAAAGGCAAAGGAGGGAAACCAAATTGGCCAGTGTTAGAATCCGGGGAGAAAACAAAGGAAAGGGTCATCTCCCGGACATCATCAGCATATGCATATGTAATTAGAGCAGATCTAAAAAAGATGGTTAGGGTTATTATCTCTCTCCTAATATTTACACTGAGTAGTAGTAGCCTTCCAACACGGGTTCCGTCTCTCGCTTCACTTTGCTGTTGGTGGTATCGCGAACTGTTTCGGTCTCTTTGCTGCGTGCATGACAAACCCCATGATCACTTCCTTCTCGTTAAGTCGCTGCTGCAACCGGAAAATATATTATGTTAACAAATTTTCCATCTTTTGGAAGGAAGAAAAAGAGATACACACCATTGACGTGAAATGCTGTTGCACAACAGCGAGCATCTGTTCCCTCGGTGAATCAATGTTGATGCCAGCCTAGTGTCAAAGAGAGATCCCATTGGAGCACTATGTTAACAAAGTGTATAGATTTCAGAGGAGCAGGCAGAGAAAATAGCTTAAAGGGACAGGAACAAAGAACACTCACTAGCTTGTAATGCTTGCAATATCTCCACAATGAGTCCTTCCCTAGTTTCACCAAGTTCACTTTCTACAAACCCAGAATTTGGCTTAATTTGCTTGAGTGCTAACAATTCAACATGGCAAGCAAAACCTAACGCAATGCAAGGATGCTTACTCTCTGAGATGTATGGATAATTGGCTTAACATCCCTAAAACTGATGCAATTCACCGGCTTAGCTGCTGGAACAGCAGGTGGATAGCAGGAGGATGGCTTCGCTACTGGACGAGCTCTAGGCTTGCTGAATCTGTGGAACTGGCTGCCATTATCTGGAAAACAGGGAACACCAACATTATTATAAAGATCTATAAGACTATAATAACCCATAAAAAAGAAAGAGAACAGAACTTCATGGGTATTGATAACGTACAGAAATCATGGTCCTTTTCACCAATGTCAGAGCCACTGCTGGTATAGAGATCAAATTCTTCTTCATCTTTCACTTCATTCCCCGTCGGATGTTCCAGTACGCTAAGCGCATTCCTTTGCAGCTTCACTTCAACCCCATTTTTCAAGACCTTGCATTTTCCATAAAAAACAAAACAAAACGAGAAGTCAAAAATACTCTCTGAACAATATGAACGAAAGAACTCAAAAAGGTTTGCGAAGAAGTCAGTTTCTGATTATCAGCCGAAGAATTATATACAGAACTCACCGATACATTGAGTTTGCTAGCACTGCCAGCCATGATTATGGAAAGGAGATAAGAGGTTTTTAGGGTTCTGATTGAGCAGCAAACCCTTTCTTTGAAACAGAGTATTTATAAGCAATTCAAGTCTCAGCTGAGAAATCGTGATCGTAATCCAATAGTATGGTAACTTAAGATATCTTCTTCAACAAACAAGGGAACTAAATCGATGATGGGATTACGAAAACAAGGAATCCGCGGGTGATACGGCGCAATGGAAGGCGGAGGATCTTGGCCAAGTCTTCAGATTGGGCCGGTAGGCGTATAGACTGAACGGGCCCAATGAAAAAGATAGTTATCCCTCCCATAACCCTTTTCCAGAACTTCTTTGTACTGTGTCAGTCAATTTTATTAGAGCGAATCCATTAATAATAGTGTTCTCTCATTCACCCAAAACCCAAATCACAGAACCCCACTAAGAATAGTAAAGTGCTTAGCTTTACTATGTCAAATTAACAGGAGCAGACAAAAAAGATTAGAAAAACCCCCCAAAAGAAAACCTACTCTGTTTTATCACCATGATAGTAACAAGACTCAAAATTATGCTTAATACAATTGAGAAGGACTAATGGAGATTGGAAACAAAGGAATGATGGGGAAAGAAAGAAAAAAAAGGAATTACCAGCCAATGCCAGCCTCCAAGGCCAACAGCTTTCTTGACCACGCCTTGTAAGCCCACAAGAACAGACTTTGTTCTGTTGTTTCCCGTGACGACGACCTTTGTGTTCCTGGGCAGAACGGTGAGCTCTTCATCGCCACTCTCGTCTCTAAAAGGTGACAGCATGTGAGCAGAGCAAAACTCACTGGTCTCCAACATCCTTCTTCTTTCTTTCACTCCTCTCTCTAACCACCACCCCACTGCCAGACTCACAACAATCCAGCCCGCCACTTAATCCCTCCACTTCCCCAGAAGAACCCTAATCCAGCAATCTTGAATAGCTCTGATGGGTAATTGCTAACTGTCAGCTGCGCTCAAGTTACAAAAATTCCGAGCTGCAGTCAGAGTGGAGTGGAGTGGAGTGGAGTGAAGTGAGTTGGGTGCAGAGCCAGAAGAAGCAATTGGATGAAGCCTGTCAGGGGTAAAAAGCAATTTATTACTCTACTCCCTGAGACAGATAGATTAGAGGGTAGAGAGAGAGAAATGGACGGAATCACGGACTAGAATTGAAAGCAATAAATGAAACACACTACACTACACTACTACTGTTTCGAATCAGATAAGAACAGAGAAGAGATGATTCTTTCTTTGTCCCGACTAATAATAATAATAATAATTCATCCTCGAAGCTGCAATGGCATTACAACAATAACACAAATACCATTCAACCCTGCAACAAACCAACCCAACATTCTTGTTTTGTTTGTCTGTGTGTGCGTTCTTTTTTCAAAAAAAAAAAGATCCCCCCCTCTCTGTCTCTCTCTTGGTCCAGAACAGTCCAAAACTCACCTGAAGATGGGTTTTGATTACCAAAGATTGAATTAACAATGTTTGCTTTTCCTTGAAATGAAAACCAAATTGCGGAAATCAATCAGGTACCCTGAAAGAAGCTGAAGCATAAACAATAGCATTGCCATTTGCCAATCGGCACAACTTTAGCAAAGCATTCTAGTCGATATGCTCCATAAACCCCAAATAAAAGAAATTTCTTGCTCGACCAGGATCGCAGTAAGTCATTAAATAAATAAAAAAAGAGAATTCCGCCATACCTATTCATTCATCCGTTAAAAGAAACCAAGACCCAATTCAGAAAAGGAAATAGGGAGTTACCTCTTGATTACATGTACCAAGCTAGAAAGAACTCTACTAAAATATCAATGGCCTCAGTTGGACGGAGATTGCCGGATCGTCGTCGACGGAGTAGGAGAGAGAATGAGAGGAATTTGAACCGGCAGAAAAGAAGAGAGAGAGGAGCACAGGAATCGAAGAGGAAGGATGAGAGAGAGAATGTTTTTGGAAAAAGATGGGAGGAAGAGAAGAGAGAAGGAAGAGCAACACTCTCACTCTCATCACACTCACTCACACACACACACTATAAATGCATTACCCAACCGCCATGCCCGTGGCCAGGCCGAAGAATGGGAACAGGCAACGGCCACCCATGTGCCCCCATCGGTACGGCGCCTCGGCTCTCCTCTCTGCCCCTCTTATTAGTTACCGGCTTCTGCCCGCCGGTTCACCGGCTATCACCCGTCGTCTCCTGTAAACAAACGGGCTTTGAAATTAGAGGACAGGGTTTCCACTTTCTATTTGATTTTCTGTGCTAGAGAAATTTGGGGCTTCGTGGTCGACTAATCGGCTCGCCCAGCATTTTGTGCTTTTTTGGGTATTTGTTTGTGGGTTTTCTTGGGAAGCCTCTTTGTCGTTATTTGGAAAGGGGAGCGCTTCACTCCCTTGACAATTGACAGGAAGTTGGTGTTGAAAAATCTATCATTACTACTGCTAGAGAAGAGTGCTAGGTAGGGGCTGCTAATTATTAGGTCAATTAACATGCATGGCCTTACTGGTTACTACCACTAATAGCCAATTTGTTGCTCAAATCTTGTTTCTTTAACAAAATTTTCCTTTATGGTTTGGAGTAAGTAACATAATAAGGTCAGTGGCAGATCCAAGTCGTTTTTACGCGTGATTTGGGTTACTCCAAATTTCTCAAAATTTTGTCATAAATCTCTATAATAGTTTGAGTTTGGGAAAAATTATGGAAAATGTGATTTTGTGATTCAAATTTGGGACACTGCAGTTACTTAGAAAAAGATGTCCATTACGTTACTAATCATTTTGTTAGTATGTTAAAAAAAATTAAATGTAATTATAAACTAAATAAGTTAATTGAATCACGATTTCTTCACTTTTTTCATCAAACTCCTAAAAATAACTTCTAAATTTCTCCACCATTACGATATTGACGTAGCAACAAAAAAATAAAGCAATATTGAAATGCTCTCCATTTCGTCTTTTTCAATTGTTTGTGTGAACGAAACCCAAGTCAATGTTTAGCCTCCAACCCTTGGTCGTCGATTTTGCTTCTCGGGACTCCAGTTGTATTTTCTGAAATATTTTTGTAGATTGTGCTGGTTAGATAGATAAAATTTGATTTGACTTAATTTTTTGTTAGATTAAATTTTTTGGAAGAGGAAAAGGCTAGATAAACTTTTTGGTCTGTCACATAATAAGGTAACTCGCATTTTATTTTTACGTTAAGGTCACCTTACAAAATTGTTCAAATTAGCAAGCAAATCAACAGAATCAATAATCGCATATATCATATGGTCAATCGTGATACAAACTACTCATTTTAATACCTATCTTATTTGAAGCAAAATCATACTCGATCCAAGTCTAACTTACCTTGCGTGAAACCTCCCTAGTGTCTCACCTCCCCCCTCCTTCGCACGATCATAATTCATGCGCAGTGAATTTGGTCGAACAATGTAAAACCATCTGTTGTGTGTAATCATCCTTATTCTGTTATCAATTTTTTTACAGAATAAAACTGTATAACACATACAAGCATGATAGATTATAGCGTGGAGAAAGAGTATTTAGTATATGTTAATTTAGATAATTTCTGTATGTACAAAATAAAATAATGGATGCCCTTGGATCTACTTTTTTCGTATCCAATAATTATGGATGGATTTAATGGGGTGCATATTGCCAAAGGCATCCCATCTTTGCTGAGGGCGGTGGCCAAGTAGAAAGTGTAACCAATGTTTCCGACAACTGGATATTTCAAGATGTTGGGCCCAGGAACGGGATTGGGTACGGTATGTGTATCGAACATTAATATGTCCATTAACTCGATTATTAATTCTGGGCTGCGCTGCTTAATGTTACTACTGCCTGATTCTGAAGCCTAGGGTTGTTCAAATGGCGTGGTTACCATGATAATCGTTTTAACCAGTACTATTTGGATAATTTGGTTTGGTTAATTTGGATAATTTGTTTGGTTCAAGTTTTTAGCTTGTTTGGTTTGGTTTCAGACACTCCTAACCAGTCAAACCAAATTAACCAGATAAATAATTAGTCATATATCTAATATATACACATACTTAATACTTTGAATAACCACTCAAGAGTTAAACGTTCATCCCTTTTAGACTCATAAAATATAAAGCTTGATATTGTTCCTATAATGTATATTTATATATGTAGAGTGTAGACCACAACATATGAACGCCTAATTTAGATAAATCTCATACATTATGTTGGGTGAAAACTTGAAAACAAGGTCTTTTTCAGCCTATGAAAATTGCTAAAAGACTAAGTCAATTCAAACAAACACAAAAATTCATTAACCCATACCATTGTGATAAATTTTTGCTAGGTGAATACTTCTATACTAACCGTAAGATAATTTGTCTTAGTTGCATGTATTTATGTTAAAGGTCAACTATAATCAAGTGTTGATTGTTATGTTTTATTCATTATATAAATTGTGAATTGATAAATTAACCGAATTTTTTCTCATTTAATGATAATGTGATTTTATATTGGTTAATCTGCTTAACCAATTAACCAAACCGATTAAACTTTAGTTTGGTTAATTTGGTTATTGTATTAATTTGGACGGTTTGGTTATGATATTGTATTTCATGGTTAAATTTAGTCTTATTCGGTTTGGCCTTAACTATGGTAACAATTTGAACACCCTACTAAGCCTAATAAAGTGTAATTAAGAGAGTGCCAGCTGGAAAACCCCGGCTGAAGCAAAACTGCAAAAGTCAAATTAAAATAATTGTAAGAACAGGCAGCCGCCCCCTGCAAGCCGAGCCGACTGGCGCGAAAGAGACTAAGAGAGAGCTGTGGGTGTGAATGACGTACACGTGTCAGAGGCATAGCTGTCGGATCTTATAGCAGCAAAGCAACGATTGCATTTTCTTCGCAATTTGTACAAAGTACCCACCCCCAACCCTATCCACGTTTGTAATATGAATAGAGAATTAGAGATCATGGCATTGCAAACATGGTCCATAAAATTGTATCGACAGTATTTAATGGTATTAACCATAACATATCAATATTAGAGATTAAATCAGTAAACAGTATTTAATAGTATTAATAATTGAATTACAATTAAATTATAATTTTATTATAAAATATTTTATCGCTATCTTTTCCATAACTATCTCCAAAACGGTTTCATGGACGATGATGGTTGAGGTAAAAGGAAAGAGCTTTTTGTCCTTTTTTTTTCCTTTTTGAAATTGGAGATAGAAATGATGATGACTGGTGATACATATGATATAGTACTGCTGAGTGCTGACTATACAAACATAAAGGGAAATTCAGAAGCGCCTATTCATTTTTTTTTTTTTGACAATAAATGTTCAACTTTTATTCCACTTCCAACACGAAAAAAGCGAGATTACACTTAGTCAAAGGAAATCCGAAATTAGGTCAAGAATACTAATCCAATCATCAGGGAGAGAGGATCTAGCCAGTGATCGTGCAACCCAATCAGCTCTAACATTAAAAGCTCGTGAAATTGCCTTGACCTTCACTTGAGGGTTCGTTCTTAGGATTGAGACCATTGATCCAATCCATGTTGCACCACGCCAAGGCCAATTCCTTGGCTCATCTGAGAGAGCTTTGACAATCAGCTGGCAGTCCAACTGGACAACACATTCAGATCCATATTCTTGGGCTAATTTGAGACCTTCCAAGAGTGCTTTTGCTTCGGCTTCGAGTGGGGTGGAACAAAGGAGAATGTCAGCTCGCCCATCACACACTTGTCCATGTTGGTTAGTGACCACAACACCATAAGCCGCCGGCTGGGAGTCGTTTAAAAACGACCCATCACAGTGAATCACAAAATTGTGATTGCTTGGCGGTGGAGAATTGAGTGATTGGGCTCCCCTGAGCTGAGTAGAAGGAGAGTCATTGGGGGGACTCCTCGGGCAATTAGTCCATTCCGTGAATTCTTTGTAAGTTCGCAAAATAACGTTCGGATGCCAAGGGATCCGATTCTTGAACACACATTCATTCCTTGCCTTCCAGATATTCCAGCAGAGGAAAATAACATGAGTGAGGGCTCCTGGTTGGATAGAGTCCTTGAGTAGGTACAACCAAAGCAGTCAAAATCGGGATTTTACGTAAAATCGAAAATGGGGGTAAAATCGGAATCGTAAAATCGAATCGTAAAATCGTAGGATTTTAAGGTCCATATAAAAATGAAGACGGAATAATATTAGTAAGGAAAATCATGAATAACACAAAAGCACATAACACTTACAATGATAATTTTTCAAGGTTAATGTTCAAATTTATCAAGGTTAATGTTAAGAGGTGGTGAATCGATGATGATTAATATGTTGATGTGAATTGATTATAGTCGATGGTGGTTAGTGTGAGAGAACTAGATGATGTTGGTGGATGACAAGAAAAAGAGGCATAATTTTGCAACTTGGGGAAAATAAGTAAAATTGACTCAAAGATTTGAATCCTAAAATCGTAAGATTTTAAAGATTTTAAGGATTTAAATCATGAATAGTGTAGGATTTTAAGGTCCATAGATTTTATAGTGAAATCGGAATCGGAATAGGTAAGTAAAATCGTAAAAGCGTAGGATTTTAGGATTTAAATCGGGATTTTAACTACTCTGGGTACAACCAGTCAAGGAAAGCAGTATACTGAGCTGGCAGCGGGATGTTTGGGAAGATAACTTCCCACGATTCCCTCGCATGGGGGCATTGAAAGAGGCAGTGGAAAAGGGATTCAATCGGCCACTGGCACACCTGGCATGTGGCATTTGGGGAGCATTTCCTATGCATGAGTCTCTCTTTAGTTGCCAGTCCGTTCCTAGCACATCTCCAGACAAAGAATTTGAGCTTAGGCGGGATATTCAGATTCCACACCCATTTCCATTTCCATTTCTCCACATTGTCCATCGTTTGGGGGTCCGTTCCTGACGAGTGAACCGCATGATACGCTGTCTTGACCGTAAAATTTCCATCTTCATTAAATCTCCACGCCCAGAAATCCTTAGCTTCCTCCTCCCCAACTGGGACTCTCAAAATAGCATCTCTTTCTGAAGGGGAGACATGTCCCTGAAACAACTCATCCTTCCATTTTCTGCTTTCCGGATCAATCCAAGTACTTACTCTTGCATGATTTTGAGGGCCACTCTGGATGCAGGCTCTGGGAAGGAAGGGAACCCATGGATCTTGGTCAATCCACGTATCATCCCCGGATCCAATAACCTTAACAGCTCCTAGATCAATTACCTTTTTAGACTCCCACAGACTCGCCCAGATCCAAGATGGTCTGCTTCCTTTTTTAGCCGAGAGAAAATTGCCTCTGGGGAAATAGAGTCCTTTGATGAGCCGGCTCCAGATTGTATCAGTGTTGTTCATAAGCCTCCAGGCTTGTTTGGCAAGCAGGGCCAGATTGAAATCTCTGAAGCTTCGGAAACCCAAGCCTCCCTCTGATTTTGGGGTACAAAGAACCTCCTTCCTGCACCAGTGGAGGTTGCTTTTCTGCATCGACCCTGACCAAAAAAAATTGCTAAGGAGAGAATCCATTTTCTTCGTAAGGAAAAAATTGCTAAACCCTATTCATTAGAAGGGGGAAATGAAATTGAATTTATTCAACTAAGAAAAATTAAATTGAATTTTGAGAATTTGTTTCAAGTCCAGTGTGTTGCAGGCAGCGTCGTCTTGCAGGATGCTTATTTTTAATACAATTAAATATAATTTTAAAATCAAAATTTTTAATTTCAGTACTCAACTTTACTGCATTGATCTTATTATTAACCTTTTTGTCAAAAAAAAAAAAATCTTATTATTAACCATTAACCAGGCTTATAAGCTTGGATATAACTTCTCAAAGAATTTCATTAACTGCACTATATGAAAGCTAACCGGTTAACCAAAGATGAAGATGGCGCTCGTCGAGCCATCCAATTTTAACCAGGGGGTCGTTTGGATGAGAGATTTTAATAATGAGGGATTTTGATTAAAATCTCTCGTTTAAAATACCAGGGAATTTGTATGCAGGATTTAATAGAAATAACTCGTTTGGATAAAACGCAGAATTTTAACCTTAAAACTCAAATTACAATAATATCCTTTGTCATCTTCCCTCATGTTCATCTTCGTTTGTGATACAACTAGCAATCAATTGTTCTTCCCCTGCTTCTACACCAATTAATCATACTACTCTTCTTATCTGCTTCCATCACAAACCCATAATCCCATTATTGTTTGCAGGTAAAAGAAGAAGATAACAAACTCTGAATCGGAGACAAATAAGAACCCCAATCCAAAATTGCATATACATCTCACTCCCTTCCGATTCCAAACGACCCTAGCTGGTTACCGCTTTTGTATTCCACTTCATATGCCTCGATTTAGCTAGCCAATCGATTGAAACCCAGATTGGGTGATTCCTCCTTCTCTATCGCAATTCGCATCTGACCCCCTTCCCCGATATTCCACCTGATCCATCAGATTCCCTCACTTCTTATCGACTCTTAACCAAGCACATCCAAACAGCAAATTGGCGCCGATGTGGGGATGTTTGCAGCGTGACCACCGACCAGCAAATCGGCAGGCGGACCTGAGGCCTGCTTGTCGTCTTTTGGAGCTCTTCGATCGCAGCCGTAGTGGCGGCGACTGGGGGTCAATGGCATAGGACAACGGGGAAGGTTGACAGATGTGGCGGTGGTTGGGGAAATCTGGATGCTGCTCAGGATGCTCTGCGTCTGCGGTTGAGGGTGGAGTGATTGGAGTAATAAGGTCGGTCGGAGAAGAAGGAAGAAGAGTCGAATGAAGGGTAGGTTTTGGAATAAATAAAAGAAGAACGAGAGATTTAAAAATAGCTGATGGTGATTAGCTATTTCTAAAACTCACTATTGAGAGTTTTTAAAATTCCTAATTGTAAAATCCCTCATCTTTCCCAAACGCATAATTGTATTAAAATCCTGCAGAATGAGAGATTGTTTTAAAATCCCTCACAAATCACTCATCCAAATCTCTAATCCAAACGACCCCAGGTGAATTCCAAAAGTTTTTTTTTCAATGACAAGGAAGCTGAACAGAAGAAAATAACCAGAAATCCGAAGTTAGATGATAGAGCTACAGCAGATGACGAACCGAGATACACAGGTTAGCCAGGAAAATCCTGCGGATACTAAATGAGTATACAAACATAACCCAGTTGGGCACAACTGTTAAAGGGCTTCCCCCCCAATAAAATCAATCCTTCACAACGATAACTCTGGATATAGCAGTAGGTAGGGGATGCTTCTTTCTTCACAACCCCATCGATCATCTGTCGTCTACCTACGGTGGCTGCTGCGGTCTGCTGATGGAGAGCTTTCTCTGTGCCTTCTATGGGTATCATGATGATCATCCTTCCTTCTTCCAGATGGTGACCGTGATCTGCCTCGTCGATCCCTTGGGTACGGATCTCTCTCTCGCTCTCGGTGGTCACGTCTACGAGGTGAGTGGCTTCGCGAGCGCCTCTGACCACCACGCCCTGCAAAATTACATAGAATGTGACAACGCCGTGAGCTTCTGAAGGAGCCTAAGGTTTCAGGAATCAAATTTAGTTGAGTTTCATTCATATGAATTTTAGGCCTGATTAAGAACCTACTTTAACAGTCTACCGAACGAAAAATTAACAGTGAATGACTTGATTAGGAATGATGGAAAAACCAAATGTAATACCATAGGAAAGAAATTTTAGTTGAGGAACCCCACATGACATAACTCTATATAGTTACGAGGCTGGTAGAAAAAGGAGAAGCAATTCCAAGCAAAAATGATCTAGTGACAATTCACAGGAAAGAACATATGATCAATCAACTAAGCAAGCGAAGTCACCCCTCAAATGCTCGGTGCTTGATTAACAAAAGGATACATTGTATGAAAGAGCACGTACCTCGTCTCTCTCTCAGACCTTGATACCTGCCGGGAGTTGGTGTCCTGCCACGAGACCTTTTAGCCTAGAATTGTAACCAAAGCAGAAAACCCAATGTCAGCAACTAGTAGATGTAACTCAAAAGAACTACAGAATATATATTGCCCGTACAGCCTTTTCGGAAAGCAGTTCCATTTCAAGAAGGCAAAACAGAGTTTTCCATATCTGCAGGCGATGGCAATAATCCGCACATGCATTTGTTTGTTTTTCGGCTGATTATCATCGGGACATTTGCAGCTATATCATCCCTCTCTATGTAAGTGAATATCACACCACTGGAAGAAAATATGATAAAATGCGGGGGAAAACTGAAGCAACTGGAACAGTCCTTTACTGTGACTCCATCATATGTTGAAAGAAAGAAATAAATAGACAAAAAAATTCAAGGGCAAATACTTTTTTACTAACGATGAGAAGGGAAGATAAACAACCCTCCGCAAATATAGTTGATTGATTTGAATCAATATCGATGGGGAATTCAACAAGTCGATGCGGAACTCATTTCGTGGTGATTGCAGATGGAATGGGGTTCAACGGTTTAGGAGAGCTTAGATTGGTGAATTCGATGATGGAGTTACACAGACCAAAACCTGCTGCCAAAACTTATTAGGCCTGAGCTTCTGGACCAAAAACCAATTGGTTCTAAACAACGAAAGACATGCAAAAAGTGCATACACAAGAATGAATGAAAAATCCTTGAATTACATGTCTTTCTATGTGTACCTTTTCCACTGTGACCAATCGTCCCTCAAGCACAGAACGGTTCAAGTACTTGATACAACGTTCAGCAGCCTCGGTGGTCTCCATGGTGATAAAAGCAAATCCACGGGATTCCTTGCTGCGGGGATCAAGTACCAGATTGCACTCCAGTACCTGAATCCAAAAAGTTGAATAAAATAGCTCTACAACACTAAGCTATACACCATGTAGGCGACAAAACAAAGGTGTTATGATAGACAAGTTCTCCATTGGTCTCTCAACAGAACCAGGGTCTGGGAAGGAATATATTTCTACCATATAGTGAAGCACACACCTTTCCTTCCTTGGCAAAGAACTTCTCAAGATCACTGGAGGTAACCCTAGTGGATAAACCAGTCACATACAGGTTATTTCCAGGATTGTATGCTTCAACTGATTCTCGGCTCCTATAACACCGAAATAGAAACAAACCGTCACGTTTCCCCAGGACTACATATACTGAATGAAACAGGCCCCCACGATCCCAACACTGATACCTTGATCTGGAGCGACTTTTTCGTGACCGGGACAGCGATCTCGACCTTCGAGCTCTAGGAGGAGAGGCAGCTGAGGGAGGTGGTGAAGGAGACTTGGAGTGTCCATGCCTACACATAATCGATCAATATCCACCCAAATGTAAGGACCTTCATCATTAGACAATGCCAGAGGGAAAAGAACCACGGGAACCACTAGTGCAGTGACCATGATCAGAGGAAACTAACTCACCTTCCTTCCCTTGAATGTGACATCTACCAAAACCCTCCATGGAGCATCATCAAAATGAAAAGCAAGGATGGAAAATCACAATGTTAGAGAAACAGAACAAAAAGCTCAACGAAAACCATCCAGGAATCCGGAAATTTTCAGCTCATTTAACAGCAGAACGCAAAGAACACCGGAAATTTCACAAAATTACTAAAATTTAACGGAATCCCATCCCCATAAACATTCTCACAGCATTTTCTTCCTTTTCCTTTTACACTCTCCATTCCAACAGTTACTTTTCTCGGCTAGGAAGTGAATAAGAGGAAACAATTCAACCAGAACAACATACATTCAGGCATAATTGGACCAGATTTAAGCGCAGACGACCTTGAATTTTCAATACCGTCAAAAACAATCTCAGTATACATAAAGCGGGAAATGGGAAGAGAGAAAGAAAGGATCGAGCAGAGGGAAAATTCCGAACCTGGGAGGAAGAAAAGAAGAGGTTGACTCTGAGAGATTGCAACTATGAACGGATGAGCTGACGAGTGAACGAGGGCGAGTGAGTCCACTCAGGATCCCTAACTCGGTTTTAAGGGGTCGTCGTGTTCCTGGTTCGACAGACAGACACAGAAGACAGACGAAAGCGGGGTCCTGAAGTAAAACCCCCTTGTGTGTGCGGGCTGAGCGAGGGAGGAAATTTTTCCATGTGATCGCACGTGCGAACCCAAACAAAAAGATTTTCATCAAGTAGTAGGGTTTTTTCCAAAAATAAAATAAAAATAAAGACAAGTGTTATGGTCCAATCAATAATAAAATAAAAATAAAATAAAAACAAAACAAAATCACTTGATATGGATGGCGGTATGGCGGACTCTGCCAGGGAGCAGAGCCGCCCAGCTCAATGAGCATCCTGAGTTACAACTGCAGAGGTCTCGGGAATACCCCTGCAGTTGGTAAGCTGAGGGCGCTACTGCGCCAAACAAATCCCGACATTGTCTTCCTGATGGAGACAAGGCAATATGAAAAGGAATGGAAAGCAAAAATAAAGGAGTTTGGCTTTTTGATGGTCGAGGTGTGGATGCAGAAGCAAACAGAGCAGTAGGTTTACTCCTCATGTGGAAGGAGGAGATACAGGTGGAGATCAAGGATCTCAGTTTGCATTTCATTGATGCAAAGATAAGGATGAGAAACTGCAAGAAGGATTGGCGACTCACAGGGGTGTATGGGTGGCCTGAGGCACAGAAAAAACACTAGACATGTGAGTTGCTTGATAGATTACATAAACAGACAGATATACCTTGGGTAGTGATGGGAGATTTCAACCTCATCACAGATTATTATGAGAAGAGCGGGAGCAAGGAACCAGATATAAAAGAGATGGACATGTTTCGGGGATGCCTAGAAAGTTGTGGACTAGAGGATTGTGGGTACTATGGAAGGACATTTACATGGGAAAACAACAGAGAAGAGGAGGACTATATCGAAGAGAGGCTGGATAGGGTGGTTGGGAATAAGGAATGGCTTGAGTGCTACCCTAACATGAGAGTCTACCACCTAGACAGATGTGGTTCGGACCACATTCCCTTACATGTCAAACTAATCCTAGAAGAAGAGGAAGTAACTTGGGGGTGGTCGTTCCGCTATGAGAGATACTGGGAAAGCCACGAGGACTGTGTCAATGTCATCAGGGATGGATGGCAAGAGCAAGGCAATATATCTATAATGGATCGAGTCAAGAATTGTGAAACAAAGTTGAAGACATGGAGCAAAACAACTTTTGGATCACTCAAACATCGCAGAATCAAAACTGAAAAAGCGATAAAGGCCCTGAGTAACAAAAGGAGAACGAAGGCTGTAATAGCACAGAGGAGAAGATTGGAGCATGAGCTAAATGATATCCTTCGCCAAGAGGAACTAAAATGGAGACAACGCTCAAGAGCAGAGTGGTTGAAATCTGGGGACTTAAATACTGGTTATTTCCACAGGAAGGCATCAGAACGAAGGAAAAGAAATACCATTCGAAAGTTGAAGGATGTCACAGGGAGAGTTTATACAGGACAGGAAGGGGTAGAAGGATGCTTGGTGAACTACATGTGTACTTTGTTCACATCCAGCAACTACACTGGTGAGAGCAGAGTGCTTGAGGCGGTAGAGAGAAAGGTCTCTAATGAAATGAATGAGGCATTGTTAGCACCATTCCTGGATCAAGAAATATGGCTAGCTTTAAAGCAAATGGGCTCTGACAAGGCTCCTGGTTTTGATGGTATGCCAGCAAGGTTCTTTCAAAAGCACTGGGATGTGGTGGGACCAGCAGTCACAAATGAATTGAAAGGCTATCTGGAGATGGGGGAATTCCCTCAAAAACTGAATCACACTCTAGTGGCTCTTATACCAAAAACAAAGAACCCGAGTACCCCTCTGGAGTTTAGGCCGATCAGCCTCTGCACAGTGCTATACAAAATCATGGCAAAGGTCTTGGCAAATAGACTAAAAGGGATTCTGAATCAAGTGATTAGTGAGCAACAAAGTGCTTTTGTGCCTGGAAGGTACATTACTGATAATGTGTTGGTGGCTTTTGAGTGTTTTCATGCCATGAAACAGAAGAAAAAGAATAAGAAAGGGCTGCTGGCAGCCAAACTGGACATCTCTAAAGCCTATGATAGGATAGAGTGGAGCTTCTTGGAAAAGATGATGAGAAAGTTGGGGTTTGCAGAGAGATGGATAAGTACTATTATGCACTGTGTAACAACAATTTCCTATTCTCTATTAGTAAATGGACACCAAACTGAGGTTTTTAAACCAGAGAGAGGACTTCGACAGGGGGATCCACTCTCCCCCTACCTCTTCCTGCTCTGCGTGGAAGGACTCTCTGCTTTGACAAAGCAGGCTACAAGGGAAGGGAAGATCCATGGGATCAAGGTGTCACACAGAGCACCAGAGATCTCTCATTTGCTCTTCGCAGATGACAATATATTCTTCATCAGAGCAACAATTCCTGAATGTAAGCAGCTTAGTGATATACTCAAGATCTATGAGATGGAGTCAGGGCAGAAGGTTAATCTAGAGAAATCAGAGCTGAGTTTTAGTCCAAATCTCAATTCAAATCAAAGACAAGTTTTGGCTGTGACTATGGGGATGAAACAAGTTGACTACCATGGAAAGTATCTTGGGCTGCCAACTGTTATTGGAAGGGAAAAGAGAGCAGTTTTTACAGGGCTGGTTGACAGAGTCAGGAAAAAGGTAAAACATTGGAAGAATCAGACTCTCTCAATTGCTGCAAAAGAGGTCCTGATAAAAGCAGTGGCCCAATCACAAGTCACATATACCACGTCTGTGTTTATGATACCAGATGGGATTTTAGATGAAATAAGAAGGGTGGTCTCGAGTTTCTGGTGGGGGAAGCGAAAAGAAGAGAAGCGAATACCCTGGAGGAGCTGGAAGAAACTATGTAAGTCAAAGGAAGAGGGTGGCATGGGGTTTAAGGACCTGAGGGTGTTTAACCAAGCTATGCTAGGGAAGCAATTCTGGAACTTAATGACAAAACCAGAATCCCTAGCAGCAAGGGTACTTAAGGCCAAATACTATCCCAATGGAGATGTTATGCAGGCTCAACTGGGGAATAATCCAAGTTACACTTGGCGGAGTCTACTCACAGCCCAGGAAATGGTCAGGGAAGGCTTGAGATGGAGGGTGGGAAACGGTGAAAGGGTGGAAATATGGCGAGATAAATGGATTCCAGAGGCTCAGGGGGACTTTTTCAAAGTGACATCAACCCCACGAGATGAAATCAAGATGGTGTCAGAATTGATAGACACTGGAACAAGGACATGGAAGCGCAACCTTCTCCAACATTATTTCAATTTGGAGGACAGGAAAAGAATCGAAAGTATCCCCATACCTAGGAAACCTGCTGAGGATATCAAGGTCTGGAGTCATGAGAAAAATGGCAGATACTCAGTAAAATCAGCCTATAAGTTTTGGCACAGGCAGAACCAGCAAACCAGGGAGAACAGGGAGGAAAGCCTAAACAACCTGGAAGGCGAAGAGATGCCTGAGGAGATAGAGATGTACGATCCAGTGGATTGGAAACGATTGTGGAAGCTGAAAATACCTCCAAAGGTTAAATTTTTTCTATGGAGGATGATACACAACATCCTACCCACTGGAAAGAACATAGTGGCCAAAAAAGAAGATGCTCCAACGGAATGCCCTTTTTGCAATATGGAAGAGACTCAGGAGCACATTTTCAGACAATGCCAGTGGGCGAGCAGGGTATGGAGACCCACTGAGTTCAAGATTTTCTTTGAAATGGAGGAGGATCTATCCTGTGGATCGTGGTGGTGCGAAGTTATGGAGAAAGGAAGTGATGAATTGGTCGAACAAGTGGGAATGATTCTCTGGTATCTATGGAATGAGTGTAACAACCACATGTTCAACAACAGCAAATTGGAAGAATGGGAAATCGTAGGGAAGGCTCTAAGTCACTGGGAGGAATTCAAATCCTACCATGCAAAGGAAGAACAAGAGAAGGTGGAGGAAACTATTACCTGGGCAAAACCGCCGGCGGGATGGATTAAAGTAAACGTGGATGCTGCGATTTTTGCCGGCAGAGGATGTGGATTTGGAGCGGTGGCGCGGGACGAGCAGGGAATGTTCTTGGGAGCATCACTAAACCGAGAACGAATCCAGTGGCCGGTGGAGTTGGCGGAGCTCCGCGCTATGAGCTTGGGACTACGATTGATGGAGAAACTGGGGAGAAGCTAGGGGCTGATTGAATCGGACTGCCAAACCGCCGTTCTCAAACTGGTGGGGGAGGAAATGACGCTGCTGGAAGCCGGAGCGATGGTGGCGGAGCTGAAGGAGGAAGCAGGCCGACTTGGACGGGTCAGATGGACTTTTGCGAAACGGGCCTGTAACAGAGCTGCGCATAATATGGAATGTAGCTGGGATGTTCAGGAGGACTGGGTCGGTAGACCACCCATGTTCCTCCTAGACGATTTGGATTTGGATATTTCAGGCCATTAATAAAAGCCACACATATTGCTATAAAAAAAAATATAGTATAATCGATTTTTGTTGGGTTTGCAAATGGTAAAATATAAACACAAAATTAATTCAGGCATATATAACATATTTAAACTTTAAGGACAATCTCTAATATCTCCATTCGTATTTAAATAAAATGCAACATTTCAAATAAAATAAAAAATTCTCATATTTAGATACAAATTTAACTCTAAAATTCAAACGTTTATATTTGAATCCAAAAGATAAAATAAACATCTAAACATTAATACTTGCATCCAACATAGCATCAAATGGTTTCACACACGACTGACCAATAAAATCAACTAACTAATCGGGAAATTAGTTATATATCTAAGGTGGCTACTTCGATGCACTAACTATTTTGGGTGCGTTCAATGCACCCAACTCTAAAAGTGGCTATAATACATCAAATTTGATTTTTAATTGATAGCATTAGTCTAATATGATGATATAATATAAAATCACAACTAATCAATCCATTACCCTAACCCCTTATCCTTCAATTTTAAATCCTAAACCAAAATCCCAAATTGTAAACCTAAACCCTAAATCGCTAAATCCTAAATCCATCAAAATGAAGTAAATCTTGAATGAGTTTTTTTTCAAAT